GGTAAATAGTAGTTTTACTCCCACTTTACAGCTGAGGAAAGTGAAGCACTGAGAGGTGAAGTAGCTTTCTCAAAGTCACCCAGCAAAGAAGTAGCAAAGTCTGGCTTGGCAGTCGAGCAGTGCCATCTGGGCAGCATCCTGAATCGTGACACATGTCACTTCCTTTGGACGATGCATATTCAGCAGAGGTGTCATTTTTAAATTCCTTGTATAATTTTCTCTTGGTGGCAGGGAGAAAAGAAACTTTTTTTATTTGGAAACAAGGAATGGACTTAGTGGCCTAAGACTTTCTGATCCTTCTAGCGTCGGTGTCTGACCTCTCAGAAATGGCAGTCCCAATGTTTATACAGCCTCCTTTCTGAATATGGGATGTCAGCTAGCATAGTCCATCATTGCTGGTATAAAGGAGTCCTTCTGGGTAATACTGCTTTTAGCCAGGGCTATGGAAAGTAGAGCAAACGTGATATAGAATGGTAGGACCCAGAAAACACCACTCACACACCATACAATTTGAATGGTACTCTCTGGAATTGTACAGTGGGGTCTTTGGTACAAAGTAGGAGGGTGACAGAGTGAGTTTTCACACACATCACCCCCTCGTCCTGGTCTACACCACTGAACTCTACAGTAGTAACAATAATATAAACAGACACGGCTGAGTTGGCTGAGTTTATGAGGTAGCAGATTAGGTGGCTCCTTTGCTACAAAATGTTAGACTTGCTACTTGTCATTCAGTCATTCCTTTGAAATGAAAATATATGACACTTTTGAAAATCAAACTCATAACACTTTAATAATTTGTTAATACCTCAGCAAGGATTTTTAGCAGCTAGCCGAGGGTATGGGGAAATGATTTACATCTTAAATCGTGTGGCCTTCTGGATCCTTGAGTGCAGCCTTTTGACTCAATCCAAATTTTATAGACCAAATCCTGTATTTATTAAAAATATTTATTATGTAAAGTTTGGATTCGATCAAGGGGCTGCCTTGGGGCTCTTGAGACCACAGGCTCCTCAGCCCTGGTGTAAGAATAGGACCATAGGTCAGCTAAGGAGGGGCAGGGGCATAACAATAAGAGGAAGAAGAAAAATTCTTAAGAAAGAAATGAGAAGAAACTAAAGATGAACAAAGCCTGCTTCATGGTCATACACTGATGTGTCCCTGACTGAGCTATTCTGTCAGCTGTGCCTGTCCTGGAGTACACTTCATAGATTGCTGGCCCTTACAGTGAAGTTTTATTTAAAAAAAAAAAAAAAGAAGAAGAAGAAAGAGAACATAAAGGAGAAAGGAAGGAAGAGGGAAGTAAAAAAAACAACAGAAAAAAAGGTTAGAATGAAAGATCATATTTGAATAGAATGACAACAATAATCTTTCCTTTCCTAAAATCCTGCCAAATTATTATTCCTTTTTTTTTTTCCTTCTCACAAAACCACCTGGCTGAAATAGTGCAGACTGCCGACTTAAAGTTCTCTTCTCTTAGCAGGTTTGAGACAGTTCAAGGAAGAACCCACGCTCAAGACGCTGGACCAGCTCAGTTGTAGAGGGCTACTTTGCTCTGTTTTATATTTATGTCAGTTTACTAAAGTGGTTTCCTTTTCTTTTGTTTTATTTTTTCAATATCCCAGTAAACCCATGTATATTATCACTATATTTAATAATCACAGTCTAGAGATATTCATGGTAAAAGTACTGCCTTTGCACGGGAGCCTGTTTCTAAAGAAAACCATGCTGTGAAATAGAGACTTTCTACTGATCATCACAACTCTATGTCTGAACAGTGATACCAACCACACCGACATCGATAAGAGGAGATTCAAGTTTAAAATTGCCTGCAGAATGTGTGCAGTATCTAGAAAAATGAACCATAGTTTTTGTTTTTTTAAAAATACAGAAGTCATATTGTTTCTGCACTTTATAATAAAGCATGGAAGAAATTATCTTAGTAGGCAATTAATTGTAACACTTGCTGAAAGTAACCGATTTCAGATCTGATATACTGCAATAATGATTGTCTTTTTTATATAAAAAAAAAAGATGTACTGTTAAGGTATTACTTTTTTTCATGCTAAATTAGATTATTATGTTAGCTGACAGTGGTACTGATTTTTTTAGGTTGGTTGCTTTGTGGTTGGTAGTGATAGTAGCCTGAACCACGTTTTAGATAACCCAATTATGTATGTATGTATGTGCATACACGTATACAAACACACTAATGGTAGAATGCTTTTTTATGTGCTAGACTATTATATTTCATAGTATGTCCTTGCAACTAGCCAATATCACCACTTTTAAAAAATTAAAAATCACAATATTATATTATTTCATATTTGCCACTCGAAACATGGCAGATAGGTATTAATATGTTTTCAATGACCCACAACCTGTAAGGAAAAAGTATTGAAAAAAAAGAAGAGTTAAGAAGTGTCAAAATGAATTGAAATTTTCTCTAAGACATAGTATTTAGTTTATACTTCAAGGCAATCTTGAAGTCCAACATGAATTTTATTAAATCTACTATCTGGATCAAGCTCAAAGCCTGCTTCTTTGTAATAATAAAGTTCACGATAGGTTAGCCTAAATAATATCTAAGGTCTCTTCCTTCTCTCAATTTTAAAGATAAGAATTTTTGAGACAGTATTGTATAATTTGAAATTCCATTTATGGGTCTAAGCCATTTGGGCCAATGTCTGGAAGCAGAAAAGTAGAGTGAACAAAATAATGGTATTTAGGAGCCATGACAGTACTTTCATCTTTATATACTCTGAAACACTTCTTGAAAATTAAATTTTACTACCTTCATTAGTCATTGGTACTTGCCATAAATTGAGAATGTGTTGAAATGTCAAAAATATATATGACTTTTACTTGTTTTACTGTTCCTCCCAAATCCTTAT